TAATGATTTCAATTTGATCAAAATTGACAATTACACTTTCAAGATTATAATAAATACAGTCTTATCACTGAAAAAGCGAAGATATCTATTAATGAAATATGTCCATTTAAAAAAACGCAGTAATGTAAATTAACAACATTACTGGTCTACATATTTATTATTAACGAAATGTTTCACGATTGAGAAAATCTCTTTTATCAAATTAAATATTATTTTGTACGTTCAGTTTGGTTTTCTATATATATATATATACTTCAATTCTCTCCTTTGAAGTATCACTTTCTCTCACTTTTCCAATTATTCCGTTCCGACGTAACCCGAGGAGTACCTTTTGATGACACAGACGGTACGCGCCTAATTAAAAGTACGATTCCGTGGTTACAACTTCCAAGAACGATTGCCGTTAAAAGTTTCCGGCAATAAAAGCAATCTGCACACTTGCGCGGAATGGGGTACCGCACACCCCAGCTATATAGCCTGCCTCGATTTATGGTTGGCTCGTCAGTAACTTCTTTGGTCCCCCGACCGTATAACGTTTTATGTTATATAGATGAAATGGAGTCCAACGTGCCTGTATATTCATGTACAGTTTTCTTTAAAAAGAGTGACTTTTTTATTCGCTCCTATAAAAAGGGGTTGTGAACCCCGATTTGCGCTAAGTTTAATTATTTGTAGCTCTTGAGAACGTTAATTGAATTCGATGAAATTTGCGACGTACATGTACAGGGTGTCCAGAGAGGTTGAAGTTACTCAGATCAAATAGATGAGAAATGTTGATATACACCCCCCTGTTTATGTTTGTAAAACATTTTGCTTCACTACATTTATGTCAATAAGTCACAATTTCAAATATCAGAAAGATTCAAAAATTAAAACCGTGTCACGTTGGAGAAGGAGGTGTTTCCTTTTTGTTTATAAACATCAAGAAATAGTATTTAGAGAAAACGTTAATTAATGTATGCTTTAAACGAGAAAATTTGATAAAAATGTTAGGTGTCAAATTATGTCTCGAATTTATAAATTCTGTAGTCTATACATATATTCTTAAATAATAAATTACAATATATATTATCTTCATTCGATTGACATTAATAAGTGTAGTTTACATAAATATTTTATATTATTATTTACATAAATAATAAATTCCTAAATGGCACCTGTTACAGTAAATTCTCCTTAATTAACCCTCAGTTTGGAAACAAAAATGAACAATTTGGGAAGTGAGCCGGAAACGAGCCGTGAGACTCGAATAATCGTATCTCCTCTTCCTATATTGTCCAATTTTGTTTACAAGCTGAGAGACAATTGGAGAGAATTTACTGTATTTCGCAGTACCAATATTCTAGTCTAGAACAATCTTGATTGAGAGTAACTTCACCGATCAAAGTGATATCATTGCACTTTGTGACATACATATGTATAGAGTGGCAGGGACGTAGAAAGTGCATTTGTCATATCCTGAAAATGTCACAATGTTTTGCAGAAAATGCTTATTATTTTTAGATTATATTACCATTTTCATTATTATATTTTCGTTTTTATACTATATCGTCGTTTTTGTATTAAATTACTGTTTCCATTACTATATTTTCGTTTTTGTATTAAATTATCATTTTCATATTTTGTTATCGTTTTTACACTATATTTCGAAGTATAAATTTCTGTGCTACAGATCAGACGGCAAGCGTTTCTGTCAAATATCGAAAACACTATTTATTACACCAATTTATACATCCTATTATAATTTTGACATATTATACAAAAAAATAATTCAGGAATGTAAACAATACAAAATGAACGTACATAGGTAATAAATATACGTCATTTATTATTCTTCATTACAATTTTAACATATAATATTCATATTTGTGTGTATTTTAAAAATGAATCTATGAATAAATAGTATAAATTGCTATAATCGCACAGTCGGGTCGCAATGACCCGACAGCCATAGTCTGTCGGTGAATAGTTCGGTTTTTCGATAGAAAGCAGTTGAAGTCATAATAGCTGTCCTCCTCATTCCTATTACTTCAGATTTACAACGTGCGAAAGCAGTGGACAGCTCTTCTGACTTGGAATTTTTTGTTTCGAAAGATCACAGTTACAATTTCAAATAGATCATGATGCATGCGTGGTAGGACGTTATTATTACGCACATACTCATGCGATTTGAAATAATTACAGAACAATACGTATAATTCACACGATTAAGATGATTACAATCGTTATTTATTTGTCAGTCTTTTATTTACAATTTACAATGCTCAATTACAATGCTTTATTAAATTCAACGGTTTCTCTTTTATTTTTCTGGAGATAATTTGCAATTTATTTGTGCAAACATTCGGTTGATTGAACGTGAATGCAATGTGTAGAAATGCATAAGAAACGATGGTTGCGCAAATAACTCGTCTCGCAAAATGATGTTAAAATTGAAATGATTTTTTCTTCATCTTAAATAATTTCGTCTTTAGTCTTCGTGTTGAGTAGACTATTATGTAAATGATGTAAATGATATAAATGATGTACAAATGATATACAAATGATGTAAACGATATACAAATGACGTAAATGATATACAAATAATGTAAACGATATATAAATGATGTGAACGATATATAAATGATGTAAACGATATAAAAATTATAAATAATATAAATAATAAATGATCTTAATATCTCAACGTCGAGATCGATCTTGAGACAAGTTCTGTTTGGGTCGACATCCAGGAAACCGAGGGTCGAGAGTCACGTTATAGAGATCGCAAGATATCTCCTAATTTTGAGACATCCTGTACAGAGATTGATTTCAATTAGATGGATTTTCTTAATTTCCGTTCTGTCGACCTTTGACCTGGATCGCCACGCGGTGCTACAATACATATACAGGATATTGGCAACAGGTGGTAGCCAAGAGGTGATCCTTCGGGGATAATGCAACACGAAAATCAACAACGAAGAACAGCGGTTTCAGCGCGGCTTTCAATTCTTTCGTTTGTATTCTGTTCTTATGTTGTCACGAAGAATTAGCCCTTGAATTGTTTGCCACCTGTTGCTAAACTCCCTGCAACGAAATGCGCCCATGCAATAGAGCAGTAGTACATTGCCAACGATCCGGAACAGTTCATTCTACATTTCACTTCTATGATGTTTACGCGTTATGTGACCTAGGTCGGGTATTAGTCTTAACACATTTAGCGCAGTGTGTCGATCAAATATTGGTTACACTAATTTTTATCCAATCCATTTTCATTGTAATGCATTCGAATAAACTGAATTTGACTAGAATGTTTCAGATGCGAAAGAGATAACTCTTTATAATAATAATAATATATCATCCAGTATAATAAATTTCAATTTCCTAGTTTCGATTTAATTAATTAAATTGCTTTAGCTTTAGGGGAATTTTAATGGTTGATTATAGGCGATAAACAATTACAATATGGCTTTCGAACTTTAATTTTTTAAAAAAAGTCATCATCCTGCGATGATTTTTCGCATAGTTGTGGTCGTTCCAAGTTGGCCAAGTTTATCGACCGAAAGATTCTATGATAAAGATGTGTGTTAGATTTCTTTTTACTTTCTAGTTCTTCATTACCTATAAACAATTTCGTGATTTAAACACGGAATAGTCGCTAAATGTGATTTTAATGCTGCCTTAACCATCTCAACAATTATACTGTTGATTCTAATCATTCTCAGCTTTATTCATTAATTTTTCAAAACATATTTTTAATGATTTTTTTTTTTGTAGATCTATCAGTCTTTCGCCCGTTTCTACTGTAACGGCAATTTATTTGATCTAATTTCCGTAGATTCAGTAATTACGTGACGATTAAAAGTACGCTGGTTCAAAATGACCCGGTAACCGCAGACAGGGAGTTAAACAAACACACATAAAAGAAACGAAAAGAATGTCTCATTTTCAAAGAAAAAAAATTAATCAATTTCTTTTTAAAAAAAATTAATTTCTGAACCGTCCATGTACTGTATAAAGTGTATTACTTACTTGTTCGTACGCATCCATGAATAAATAATAACGAATTAATAAATGTCGTGTTTTCAGAATTTGGAGAACAACACGTTCCGGGAGGTGTATCATATTTGGTATTTGTGGCCTGTCAATGGCGCACAATCGGACGGAGCAGGCTTGATAGCCGTGCTCCTTGAGGCGAGGGCCCTCCAAAGGGGTGGCCCCGGACCCATCGTGGTCCATTGTAGTCCCGGCACTGGACGCACGGGGACGTTGATAGCTCTTGACCTAGGAATTAGACAATATGAGATTACGAGGACTGTGGACGTGCCAAGGGTCGTTTACACTATCAGACGGGATCGTGCTGGGGCAGTCCAGACGAAAGAACAATATGCATTCATTTATAAGGTGATTCTCTTTCTTCTCTTGCGATCCTCGCGTGTCCACCATCGGACAAGTCCACTGAATAATTTAATAACTGTAATAATTTATCGAATAAAACTGTACTTATGACTAACTCTTACTCTATGATATCGTGTCGGACTCGTGATGGAGATTCTGAGCAAAGACTAATAAATACGTATGTTGTTTAGTTTCCTCAAATCGAAATAATATTCTATTTGAAATAATGTAACAACTTATCTTGAAATCAGTATTTGAAAGAAAATTATCGAATTACCTTTAGATACAGATGGTAATATATTCTTGACATAAATTTTATGTATATGTTTAATAGATATTTAAATTATAATAGCTGTTTATTGAACATTTTAATTCCGGTAGATTTTTAATATTAATTTGAATTATAGTAGATTTTTAATATTTTAAATTATAATAGATTTAAATAGAGAAAGCTAAATTTAAGTTACAATAGATGTTTAGATAAAATGTAATTTATGGTAGATCATTAGTAAAAATTTAATTTGTAGTAGATTCTTAGTAAAAATTTAATTTATAGTAGATTTTAATTATAAATAAATAGTTGGTAATAA